ATCGTCAGCTTCTGCATCTTCTTTTTGTTTAGGAAGATTGCATTAAAAAATTCAATAATTTAGAACCTATAGTGGAATGCAAGAGAATGATGGATGTAATTTAGAGAACTGATCAGCAATGCAAATTCATTATACGTTGAATAAATGTAAAGGAACGAGTTCTTTACGGTGACAAAATGCTCGGTAGCAGAAGAAGTAACAAAGAAAAGGTAAATAATTGATGATTGGTAGGGTGAGTCAGTTCCGAGGCGATGGCTCTGGGAAAAAGTTCTTCCGTGGTGGCCTAATTGCGAGCTGGAGAGATAATTATTCGATTATTCACACTCGGTTGCTCGAAAATAAGAAAGAATGGAACCTACGTCTATGAAAAAAAGCACGGGGATTTATGAGCCATTACCATTCGTTCTGGTGGTAGGGTTGAAAAGGGTGCAGCAGCCATAGGAATTATTTCGTCATCTGTCGACTATCCTGCGAACACGATCTCGCGACTGTTCTTGGTAACTTTTCCCGACTGGGGATTTCTAGTTTATCGACTTCGGTAAATGATCTAGGGATTTTAAGCGTTTATCATCTACTGCTTCTGTAGGAATCTACTTTATTCTGTTAGGAACATTTAGGTACCTTCAAGTTATTTTTTACAACAGTAGGTATAGAAGTTTACGCGTCAGTGTTTGTTCGGTTCAAATAATCTTATCACATTAATATTGATTTATTCTATTTGCATTAATCGAGGGTGTAATTAAATACTTGCATTTTGCTTTCGTTTTATTTTCAAATCTAAGCCTTTTCACTTGCATATCGCTTATGTTATGAAACGTCCTATAATCCATCCAACGAGGCGAGTCAGGATATGTTTACAAATTCACGCGCTCGACGCAGGGCCGGAGCTCAGTTGTTTCCAGTTCTTCAACCGTTGCGGTCGAGGTTTGTGTACTGTGAGCCGAGCCTGCTTCGAGCACGTGAATTTCTACGCATATACTGTCTCGTCTCGTTGGATGGATTATAGATTATTGTAAAAATTACTTAATATCTTTATCTATTCGTTAACTAGAAAAATAAGAAAATAAAAATTATTCCGAATCAATAAACGTCATCTAGTTGAGCGCAAATTAAGTCGTTTGTCAACCCTCGGTCGTCTCCGTCATCCAATTTCGTTTGTCGCATCAGGCAAGACGAATGGAGCGACAAAAACGATGTCTCCCGGTTCTTTTGCTCGTCGAGAAGAACGACTAAGCTCGCGACGAAGCGACGATCTCTCATAAAATCAAATAATTCCGAGGAAGGAGTCGGTCGGAGGCCCGATATAACCCCGGGCGCACGCAAACGGCAATAAAGGGCGAGCACGGTGGTTCGTTCAACGACCGTATCGAAAGGAAAACGAAACGTTAACGTAAACTGAAAAACAATCGAGTGAGCGGCGGCTGTCACTCTGACGACGAAGCTGGCATCCGCAGACCCGAGTCATCTGTTTCCTACGCGGCTATGTCGTTTATTTTTCCAAAATGGCTGCTAAAACAAGACCGTCTTACTCGCGAGAGTAATTTGAGACTTATTTATAGGCGGCCACCTATAACCACCCACACCTATTTGACCGAACAGTTTTTACAAAGTAGCCTCGCGATCGTGTTTGCGATCTGCCACTGCTATTGATACCTCTCGTTTAATCTTGTTAACCCTTTCGTTACCAACCACGTGTAATTCGTTAAATGTACACACTTATCAGTCGATACACGCGTTAACTTGATTTCTAAATATTTTCCATTACTTCTGGTTGCAAATTTCTTTATACAGTCCTAAAATTTTCAACCCTTTCGTCGAATCACTTTGAGTAAATCATCTCGTTCCTTCATTTTCAACAAGTCTTTCCCGACGTCGTCACTTAATTCGATGGAATTAGGAACGAAGTGGACGCTTTCGAGGATGCTCGTTTCAGGTCGGAGGTCGGAGAAGGAAATTCGAGCGAAAGAATTTTCTGAACTCCGTAGCCGCGGACCTGCATGAAACGCTGTTGATTGGCCGCTCGTGCGCCAATTTTCCTCGACGTCGCTTCGCCACGAAAAATCGGTAAATTGCTTCTTTGAAATGCCGGAAAAAGCCGGAGGAAATGGTTTCCTCCGTAGTTTCCTACGGCAACTTCTTCGTTCCTTCGACCAAAGTAAGCATCGTTACCCGCTCGATGATCCGTACGCTCTTTGACCAATTCTCTCTGACCGCGAATTCGAAGCTCGAAAATATCCTTCCTGTTAGCTGAAATTTAATGTCCCTTTGACAAGATCATTCCGATTCTACGATCAAATAATTGAATTCTTTTAAAAATTTTCAGAGTTTTTATATGCATCACAAAGTTTCCTCATTATAATTTTCTCAGTAATTTGTAACGAGTTTTACATACGATTATTTTCACCATGGCAGTCAATAGAATTCGTGCTGATTTTTATTCAAGCACGCCACGTCTTGGTAAGGTGGACGGAATTGCCGGTTCGAAGTTTGAGATTTTCTGCCGCCACTTTTCGTCTCTCCAGTCGTGGCCTCTCTTCCTTTTTTTTTCCTCATCTCTCTTACACACCGTCTTCCTGACTTCTGACACGCGTTTCAATCGGGATGGTTGCCAAGGAGACCCAGGAACCAGAGTGTCACACGGACTATTGAAGAGGTTAAAGGGGACCGCGATTCCATTTTCGACTTAAACCCGATGACAAGCTTCAAACAAACCGTAAAGATACATTAAAGATTCCATTAGTTCCATTTATAATCCTTTCGATGACATCCCATGCGGGAGATTTTATGAAAGGTTGACGAGAAAACGATTCGTTGGACGGTGAAAAGTATTTCGCAGGGCGTGCACGGGTCGATTATACTTTTAAATTCCCGTTTCCCGGCTATTGTAAGAGGCAGCGTGTTCGCCATGGAAAAAAGGGAATTTTTTTGTTCCGCCCTGAAATGGCTCGTGCAAAATTGATAATAGCCGCCATATAGTTCGCTAGCCAAATAAATTCTACGGTTACCATTTTTTAGTCGGTAGTTAAAGGGTTGAAAATTTTATTTCATCGCGTCTACATCAATTTTCGTAACAGTTCGACTAGAGTAAAGCAACTGGAGCAAATTACTAATTACCATCGAACTCTACCGAGTTAACGAACCCCCCCACCTTTTTAGACGATATTTTTAAAACGGTTTGCGTCCTTCGGAATTAACTTCGTTCGAGAGGCTCGTCTGCTACTTGGTCCGCGGACCTAGCATCGAGTGAAATCGTCGGAACGAGGCCATACAGTGAGAGAAAAGGGCGAAAGGGGTGAGAACGGCGAACCAAGGGAGAGGGTTGGACAGACGGAAGACCGTTCAGCGCTATTAACAGCTAATGAAAATTAGCTTTCGTCGGTTGATTGAGCGTCAAATCGTCCCTTTCTTGTTTCGGGAGAGAAGTCAGCCACCGGTGTCGTTAGACCGACATATACTCCTCTCTCGAATCGCAGTGCCCTCCTTGTTTTTTCGCTGATAGGAAATTCCGGGCTAAAGTGTTCTGCCTCTCTTTCCCGAAATTCGCCAGAATTTCACAGTCTATTCTGCGGAGAAATTTGAAAATTTTCGGGACAATTCATGATGAATCGTTTGAAATTCTCCGTCGAATCTGCTACTGTTGAATGTTGTTTATTTTTCTTACCAACAATATTGGGAATTACTCTGTGTAAGATCAGGGAAATAATGCGAATCAATTTCGAGGAAGAACACTGACGCAAAGTGCTCGTGACTTTTATTGAACGAATTCAAAATTCTGCCAATAATTTTAAGATTCGAAGGTTTCTACGAACGCGACGATTAACGATTTTGTTTTCTTTGGAATCAACCGTGTGCTTTTTGAGATTCGAAATGGCAGGACAGAGGAAATAGGTCGCGGAACGATTTGGATCGTCTCCGAAGGCTGATTTATTCGATACAATAGGCCGCGTGAATTTCTTAATGGAAACCGCAAGTAATCCGGCTAGTTCGGGAACTAGTAACGACCGTGTGTGTCAGCACAAGGCTTCGTTTAACGCGAGAGCATTATGGCTTTCGAATGTTTAGAACACGATATAAACGTAGCAGTAATGGACTGCAGAAACGACTATAAAATCCATCTTCCGACCGATCTCTGCTCGTTTCTACGAGTCAACTTTGTCATTGATGGGCCAGCGGCGAATGATTTTAATTGCGATGAAATTCCTTTCGTTTTCAAACATTATCGGATGCCTTTTTCGTTTGTCGTTTCATCAAATATACTTTTGGCCGAATCTCGATTCGAGGCAAGCAAAGAAAGAAATGTTTCAAGAAGTGTTTCGACGATGAAGATGACTCTGGACGATCCCAGAGGGGTCCGAAATGAGCGGCGGGCTCTTTGAACACGCACTCCTTTTTATGCAGATCGGGAGAAGGAAGCGTAAAGGCCCTTTTCAGGAGGATAATGTAACTCCTTTGTTTATAACAGATGAGTGTCAGATCTAGCCTTTTTTCCTCTGTCCGTCGGTTAAGTCTGCTCGTCTCCGCGTCTGAATAAACATATCTGATGTCTGTCGGGCCCACCCAGATGGAGCTATTAAAACTCTTATGGGAAAGTCGCTTCCATCCCATGACTGATAGATATTTACGGTGATTTTTCAATTAAATCGACACTTGTCCTCTAATTGATTCGCTAAACTACATCGTTATTTCCACGAAAGTACTCTAATTCTAAAAATTCTGAATCGTGGAATTTAAAATTCATTATTTTGAAGGGGTTAATTGTCCCAGGGTTAGAATTATTATTTATTGTGTTTTGTTTTTTGCTCTGTCAGTGAATCTTTAACGTCTCTAAAGATAAGGATAAAAGAACACGACGTTACTGGAGAAAAGAGCTACTTCTTTGGAAGATGTCTCGGATCAAGCACGTCAAGTTTTTTACGATCTCAGCCACGACGTTCGAGCGAGACCTCTTCAAGAGGGTAAAAATGAATAAACACTTGCATTTTTTTTCCTTTTTTAATGAACCATGTATATTTGCATAGATCTGTATCATCACATAGGTACGCAGAAACAATAGTGTAATTACGCTAAATCGGTATCGGTGATGATCGGTTTTATTGCACGTGAGCCACCAAGAACGTTGTTGATCCTTTCTTAAACGCTTCTGTTTTATCTCTTAATTGAATTCGTTTCATTTTATGGACGCATCATTCTTCGTACCTTTTAACATATCCAGCCGCTCTAATTTAACCCTCGGACTACTGACATAATCTAAACGCGATTTTTCTAGGATAGCAATTTCACGTTACAACGTCTTGAGGCTTCAGAATAAATAAATATTCCGTTCACCGATACCATTCGACTCGAATTCAATTTTATACAATTATTTACACACTAATTTACACGATCCTCTTCCTAGATATATTTATAAGTAGGTTTACAATTAACGCATATAGGGGTGAATTGTTCTAATCAATATCGTGCTGTTTAATCGTTGCTTCGCAGTATTGATGTGTCATTGTGGTTAGAATACGTCGGTTATTTGAATTTATAACATAAATAAAGAGTTTCAATCCGTTGCATAATTAGAAATAAAAATATAAATCAAATCAATAATAAAAATTTTCCTCAATTAATATCTAATAAAATAGTAGCGAGACAAAATTAAAAGAATAAAGTAAAGGAAAATAGAATGGAGCAACGCCAGATGGACTAGTTTTAACGCTACTTAATTAGGGCACCCACGCAAGCACCCCAATTGTCATAATTTAAATAATTCCATTTAGAAAATGATAAAGTGGTCAGTTTCCGAGTTTAGCGAACGAACGCGTGTTTCGATATCGACGAAACGATACCGATTTATTTCTCGTCGTTCATTTTCGCCAACTGGCTCGGATCGAGATCCGGCGTGATCGTGTTTTGTACCTGAATATGAGTAGAGTGAAGGGGTGGGCAGAGCAGGGGATGATAGGGGAGACAGTAGTACGGGAAACCGCTGAGCGCTTTGTTCGCCGGATGAATTTGCGGGGTTGACATTTGTCCGGGAAGTTGGCCGGAACCACGAAGTGGCAATCCCCTCAAATGCTCGTCCGGATGCACGAGAACGCGTACAGCCACGCGCCTCGCGTTTCCGGAATTAACCAGGGCGCCCAATTCCTGTTGCTGTCGTCTCTTCGTCTTGTACCTGGAAAAAATTCACATTCCAATTAGTCAAAATTCATTAACGTACCTTTAGTAAACGCTCTTTAGTTCTGCGTTAAATTCTAAAATAAATACCGTCTGTTCTGGAACCAGATCTTCACTTGAGTCTCCGTTAGCTTCAGTCCTCTCGCAAGATCCGCTCTTTCCGGTCCGGACAGGTATTTCTGTGCCGCGAATCTTCTCTCGAGTTCGTAAACTTGCGCGTGAGAAAAGGCCGCTCTGCTTCTTTTCTTTCTACTCTGAAGATTTTGCCCGTGATTCTGTGCCTCGTACATATCCTCTTCTCCATCCTCTGCGAAAGAAATCGAGAATTACTCTTGGATGGAATAATCTTTCACCTACTCCGTGTGATATTCTCGCGGATGACGCATGGATCTCGTTAAAGGCAAAGTTTAAAGACGAAAAAGAGGAGAAAATCGATTGGAGGTTCAGCAAATTCGAACGCAAACAAACACGTAGATTGGCAACCGATGATCTACCACGATCGTAAATCAAACGAGTTTCCCGTTTGAGAAAGCGAAGAGGAAGATGGAGCAACGAGTAACCATCCTCGGACAGCCATAGAAGCGGCGAACGAACGATCGGAGAGAGTTCCGCCCGCTTTTGATGTCTCGTTCAAACATTAACACGTGCACTCGCTACTCCGACATGTTTACGCTACTGTTCCACGGTAATTCTCCTCTAAGTTTAACCGGTTGCAACGCGGAGTGCAGTATGTACGTCCTAAAATTCTTCACCAACCCCCGCGCATCGGTCACTTTGTTTTCCGAGCTTCTGGCACCGAGGAGCGCTTTTAGCTCGAACTTTCTGCCTTTGTTATCAATTCCCCTCGATACTTTGGGGCTATTTTTCTTCGTTCGAGAAACTTTTTATGCGCCACGTCGGCGCGTTACGAGTTCGAGTATGAAACAATGAATGAAACTGGAATTTTTGAATAAAGAATGGTATTAGTCGAAAAGATCTACCGACACGGTGACATCATAATTATTTCGTACGTGGCCCAGGTCGTTTTCCTCGTCCTGCGTCAATGTTTATCAGCAGCGGCTACCGTTTGGGGGACGCAAAGCATTTAGAGAGATCTATATTTGATCACTTTCGACGTCAACTCGTATGCCATCTCGTCCAGCTAATGCGTCCCTACTCTGACGCTCGTCAAACATTCTCCTACGCGTCCTACATCGAGAGTGTTCGAGAGCAGCAAGTGCCGTTTGCTCTCACTCCGATTACATCGAGATGACCCTTCTTCGTACACCTTCCCCGAACGTCGCCCTCTCATCGTTTTCAAATAAATTGATATGGACCTTAAACGTTGGTCAAATGAAACGTTATCCTTCAAGAGGGTCGTAAGAGAACAGCTCAGAAGAATGCTGATTTTTTTGCGTAATATTATAGTGTCTCTTTAGAGGCATGATGAATGGTGTGGACAGAGCGACGGCGGTACCGTAGCGTCGGATATGTAACGATTTGATACTTCACGATTTCGATAAGAATTTTTGAAAATTATTTTGTCATTAGATGTTGGAAAGGGTGCTTCAATCCTTTCGCTACGGTTTACTTTGCACTTTCTCATGTTTATTTATCAAATTATCTAAATTAATATGAATCTTAATTTTAAGAACTGCTTCCTGTCCATTACCATATTAAGTGATTCCCGGGAACGGTAGCAGGGTAAAAGAGGGATTCGTAATTTGTTGAGTGAGTCTTGAATCGGTGCCAGCTCGTGCCTGTTCCCTTCAGCCCCGAATGGTAGAAAAGGTAGGAGTCGTCGCGGACGAAATAGTCGCAGGTACGAAGGAATTACTTAATTGCAGGTCCCGTGTTAGCAAAATGTATCGCGAATCAGGACGAATTCTCTCATTCACGAGTTAGTTCAAACAGAACTCGAATCGTCGTGCCAGCATCCCTTTTTTTTGTTTGCAAGACCACGAATTTCGAACGATCGATAAAAAAAAAAAAAAGAAAAAAGAAAAATGATTTCCTTGGAATTCAGTCCCGGTAACCTTGATCTAAATTTGTTTTTGCGGCGATCCACGAATCGTCGAGGATTCAAGACAGAGCAACAGTGTGGCCAGGGATCGAACAAGTGCAAGAAGCCGAGTGCCGGCCACTTGTGACGTCTGCCCGGTCGAGCACCACTTATGCTACTAAAATTACATTCGATCACGTTATCTACGCTCGGGTTAACTTAAAAAACCCTTGAAAAGCTCGCCTGTTACAAGGATACCCGGGGAGGCCTAAATGATCTCTTAAGCCTCGTATCCTCGTGGCAGACACACGATCACCCAGAAGGGAAACAGTATGGAGGCTGCAACGAGGACTTACGATCCAAGTACCGACTGCCTCCTCTCTTAATTCATTCAGAACTCTGTTTAGTTATCGTTATCAGACTGATTTTCCGATTGAGGACCTCGTAATTTTACCACTAGTTTATTCCTTTCCTTAATTAACCCTCAATTTGCTGAATCCCACAGTAGAAACGACAGTGTGTGATCAGACATAGTTTAATTGATTAATTTTTAAATTTAGCTTTTCACTTACCCAAGTATTTATTTTTGCTCATGTCTAGAGCCTCGTCCTGCTGCCTCTGAGAGGATTCCCTCGATTCCTTGATCGGTTGATAAGCAGCCATGTTCCCCAGATTCTCTAGGTGTTTGAACGTTCCCTGTGGCAGGTGCGGGATAGTTCCAAAATTTGTGATGTTCGCGTGAACCAGGTTCCTCGTTAGTATATCCAGTTCACGAGCCACGCTCAAATCAGGCGAAGACAGCCTTGAGAACCGAGCCATCTGATTTGAATCCTGTTCCGATTGGCCCTCTTTGTATTCGTTTTCTGAACAATCGTATTCTCGGTGATGTTTCTTCGTGAACGATGTTCCCTGCGCTTCTTCAGACTCCGAAGACCGTCGTTCGTGATTCGGATAAGATGTTCTTCTGCTGAGAATGTCCGCGATGCTGAAGGGGGTTAATTGAGAAGGTTTCGGAGAAGCCTCGCTTCTTTTCTCTTCGTCCATGATCTCTGACATGTTTCCTTTTTTCTTATAACGAATAGAAACAATTCTACTACAAAATTTTTGGAAAAGTTCCTTTGGTCTTCTGTTCGACAGTCTAACAGGAAATTTCTTTCATTTTGTTAATAATTAACATGTTTCACTTTTGAAGACAGTAACAACCCTCGAGAAACATCTTTCTAGTTCGATTGTTCAACACTTTTCAGAGTCACAAGCACTGCAGACACGGTTCGATTGAGACCGGTCGACAATTTTCACGTTCACGAATTCTTTTGTCGATCGAATTAATTAATTGTCACTCGCGAACACTCGAGGCGGACCGCGTGCACCCTTTCGCGGCGAGTGTGCTTCGGTCAAGTGTGCTTGTCGCGCGTGGAGACTTATTTTTCGAATTAGTCTGCGGCCACTTCGCCGTCAGCTTCCTTCTTCCCTTCCCCGCTATCTCCCCCTTCTATGCCAGCCACCCCCACCAGCTCAAACATCCCTCCACTCTCTGGCTCTCGTCGATCGCGACTTACGACCATTCTTCTTCCTCTTTCCGATCCTTTTTCGATCTTCAGAACACGGTTTTTCACGCGTCTCTTCGCTGCTCCTTAACCCCCTAACTAGATGACTTAAATTGATCCTTCCAGATGAATGGTTGAACGTTTCTGATGGAATTAGCCCTCACTGGAAGCTCTCTAACACGTCCATTGTAGATTTATTAATCTATATTTGACGACGTGTTAATTGTGTTTGATTTTGTCTGTAAATTAAGGGTGTTAATGAATTTTCCCCTGAAAATAATTATTAAGAATTATTCACGCGTTGATTTGTCATTTTCTTCTATCTTTTTTTAAATTGTACACCCTTTTACACCCCGTGTTTCTAACTTACCCCTTGCTGAATTCACCCCTTTCGCTCTAGCTTGAAACTCTCGACGATTACGCTTCCGTCGTCTCGAGCGGAATACGCTTGGCAGAAATTCGAGTTTCGCGGGTCGTTGCGTAGGTGGAGCTTGAAACGAAGCCCAGGCTGGACGCGGATGCTCGGCGACGCTTCCGTCACGACGCAAGCCTCGCCCTACAACCAATCCACGACACTCTCCGCGTCGTCGCTTTTACCATCGAGCCAATCCACGGTTCCTAGAAGCTCTGTCGGCTTCGTAGCGACGCGTTACCAGATCAGAGGGGGATCCTCCGTTGCCTTTTTTCCGGCTAGCGACGACGAGGGGTGGCAGTCGCGAAGGGTTGCGATCTGACGAACCTTTCGCAAAAGGAGCTCTACTTCCAGAAAGTACCCCTTGCGTGAAACGATTCGGGGAAATTTTGATGATGCTTCAACCATGTAACTACTCGAAGTTGCAGGTGTGTTAGAATTTGAATTTGAAATCATTTGAAATTCAATGCTCTCGAAATTAAGATGTTCATTTTAGAAGATGAGTCAACTTGTCGTTGGAGTCAAATGAACAAAATTTTACTGAAAGGGTTTTGGCTTCGTAAATTTTCCTTCTTTCTGTTACACTTTACATCATAACTTGTCTGATCAAGAACAATCTACTTACAGAATTTTAACAATCATGGAAGGAAACATAAGTAGAATAAAAATTGATCGTTTAAGTAACTTCGAGAATTAGCTCTTCAGCAATTTCACAGTAGTTTCCTTTGAATTCTGTCGAATACTTTGAAAAAGTTCCTCTGACATCCAGTTGTACGTACTTCGTCTCGTATCGAGTCGAGAGAAGCAACGTGGTGCATATATAGGGTGTGCTTTACATAACAATCGCCGCTAAAGACTTGCAGCATTGTCCGCCACGTGCTGTCAGCCGAGTTCCTATGGCGGTTTAATTAAGTGTGAACCACAGGAGCGTGGATCACGCCTCACTTGATCCGATGATGGCCTCGTACGCGTTCCAGATATCGACGAGGAAATAATTCCACGTTCCTTTCGTGATATTTCTTGGAATTCCCTCGCTGTTACTTTTTCTGTCCACTGAAAACCATCCAAGCGTGGAATTTTAGCATACTATATCAAGTTATTATCAAACAAATTATTGTTCAGAAATCAACAATCTACGGTCAACCCTTGAAAAGCGACACTCCCCATGAATTCTTTCGCCAGATTCTCTCACCAATACTGGTCGATCAGCAATTAACAGGTGGCGAGTAATCGAACCGGAAAAACGACGTCCGTCATTTCCCTATTACTCGGTTCAGAACCATGAACACAGGATCGGAAAGAGAAGAAGGCCAACTGCGTGTTGAAAAGGCGATCTCGAAGACGAGCAGAGGTTCGTGATCTTGAGTTGTCTTTTTCTCGATTCGATCTAATCAATAATAAATTATAGGGGGATGGCGGTACATCTTCTCCCCTAAAGCTAAGCCCTGACCCTCCCGCTCAATTGGTCGCAATTCTTAAAGACCTTAATTGGCGCGGAAAATTATACCTTATTTCAGTTACCCTCGAACGAGACCAGTTCTACCCCTCTGCTCTTCGTCGTTGTACTTGCTTCGCGATTCGCTTTTCTTACGAGTTCGATTCCGCCACTCGGATATTTCTTTTTTTCACTCCCACCCCTGTTTCGCCCACCCCTGTCTGAGAAATCGTTGAGAATACAGGGGCGATAGCTGGGACTCGACGATACTGGAGCCACTTTCGACTGGCCAGTCGTAACAATAACCGCTCTAAAATTGTTCTTTCTCTCTCGTGGTAAACTGACGAGTTGCTTTATAAATAGATGGAGCTGATCGAGACGCGCGATCGAGCCGTCGGATCGAGAGAAAATTCGACGGTGCGTGCTTTTAATTCTTTTACTTATCAAAACGTGTATATACGGTCTTGAACGGTGAACGTATATGTACGTCTTTGAATATTGGATCCTCGGATAGGAGAGGTAAAGATAAATTGCTTCTGCTTTGCTTGCTGATAGAGTCGAGACAGGGATCGAGGAGCAAAATATAGTTGAAACGGTTCCTCGAAGATCGACAGGAAATTTGTGGGCGAGGGTAACTGGCATTTTCGACGACATGAACGAAAGTAACGAACATCGGGGGGCGAAAGAGCCGCGAGCGGTGCGTGTGCTCTATGGGCGGGCATAAGAATATAAAAACAAGAAGACCGGATGACTGCTAACTGTTTGTTAGTCTTGGGTTTTAAAGTCCGCACGTCTGTCAGTTCAGAGATGTAATATTAGTGCTTAGTATACGCTGCCGCCACCGCTCTCGCTCATTTACTTCTTCCTCTCCTTTCATCCTCACTCCTTTGCGTTTACCTTTGAGTCCTGCCTTTTATTCTTCGATCTTTTGCTGTTCATTCAATCCTACGCCGCGATCCCGACTATAAAAACCAGATTTCTTTCGATACTGTTTGGATTAACTCGTGCAGCTTTCTTTCTTTTGCTTCTTAACTCTTTTTTTCATTAATTTTGAATAACAGGGATAGGTCAGTCATAAATCAGACGTACGCAAAGTCTATGTAAATATGGATGGTTAAATTATTTAGACAGGAAGGTTTCATAATTAAATTGTTAATTATGTCAGTTGAATTTAAGTGGCGGTAGAAGTCGAGATAAATTTCAGTCGGGAAATCGGAACACGTTCTGTATTGCTTGTTAGACGAGTTGATTGCTGTACCTCGCTGAGATGACAGCAGAAATTTCTGTTCTTTTAATGGTTCCGGTAGTTTGTGGATAGGCTGGTTTATTGGTACTATTTTCAGACGTTTATAGTAAGACGATTCTAGCATTAATGAGGATTTCAAAGGCGAATGACAGCTAAGCTATTTCGGATTGCGAATAGTTTACTTCAGTGTCCAATTAACGTTCGAGAAATCAGCTTATATTATGGAATGTTTAAATTAAAAATAATTGCATTTGTATTTCAACAAATTATAGCCGCATATTTATATTTATAAAAATTTAGTGTTTAATAAATATGATATTGGAAGGTCTTCTTTCTGAATTCAAAACATAGAGTGCAGTAGAATATGAACGGTATTGGGGAAACTTAAACAGAGAACTTCTCTACTGCAGATAAAGTAGACCTTCGACCATATTCCCAGCAGAAAACGTAGAATTCTCTAGAGAAGGGTCCTACTCTATCTTCTGTAGATATAAGAAATAGTTCTATAATGAGTTTGAAAAATTATTCTAAAAAAGGTTGTAAAAGAAATTGATAAAATTTTGCCCGTGTCTTTATTAAAACATACCTTCGGATGAGTACATCAATTATATAATTTCTACAATAATTTGAATGCAAACCTCATTACTATAATTAGTAGCTCATGTCATATTGCTCATCTTTAACGTGCATTCATAGTTCACTACGTCACGATCTAACTTGGTAACCAAATATAATTAATCACTTAATTAAGAATTCGAAATTGGTTCATCATTAATTAATAATCCAACTTTGTCAACACTTTACGTAATCAAAATGAAATCAATTAAAAACAATTTTAAGCACTTAATGAGGTCATCATAATACAATGCATTGATTTGAAGTCTAAAAAAAAAGAAGAGATATGGCCGACACGGGGTGATTAATGAGCGCCGGAAAGACAGGGTCGTCTCTAAATAAATCCAAACGATCTGCGTACAATTTTATGCATATGCACTCGTGTCTCTATTTGCACAGCATCAGCCTTTCCTCTCCCATGATGGTTCCTTTTCGCTTGCAAGCAAATAAGATCGTGTTTCAGCGTTGAACGTCCGGTGATTGATTATGCGAATACACGATATCCTAATGGGGCTTTTAGAATTCGAGCTAAATAGCCGTTGGAGAAATTCCGATTTATGCATTTAATTGCAGTGCAATTAGTTGCAATCAATTACTGTTAAATGATGCAGCTACCAATTGCAGCAATTAGAAATCATTAGTACGTTCATAAATCATGTCAGAAGCCCCTAAAATTCAGCGATTAATAACAGCGACCTTATCACCCTGTATGATCGGCACGTAGCTGAAATTAACGCTTAGTTGGAGGTCGTTGTAACCGGTGGCTCGCATCTGGATCTCGTCGAGAGAGTAAAACGGGCCAGATCACGAGGAACAAGTGCTGGCAGGTGCGTGCAGGTGCACAGAGGCGGAGCATTTCCCGTTCGAAGGGTGGTCTGCGGTGAAGGTGAGAGCGTATGGGAAAGCCACGTGAATCCCCCGTTCTCTCCTAGCTATCAGCAGCGACATTTTTATCAGCTTGTTCCCATGGTCCTTTATGGCAGCGGTAGCACCATGAACAACGATTACGCCGACGTTGAATCGTCTATGTGAAGGCACTTGACTGCCAGATGACCCGTCGTGCTCGCGCGATAACCTAAAAGGCACCCATGGCTTCGCTCAAGCTGTCAGAACTCACCTATTTATAAATGCCATTTCGCCATATTTTCGGTTTTATCGAGCTGACCGTCTCGCGGTGGATTTCCACGAGGGAAAAGCCGCATACGAGAGGAAATCAATGGGTGAAGTTAAAATAAAGAAAGAAATTTATGGATTTGAAATTAGCGCGAATTTAGTGGAGGGATTTGAAAGGAATTTAAGGTAAATTGGAGATTTTGCTTAAATCCAATGCTACAAATAATAGGAAACATAATTTTCTTTGTAAATTATTAATACTTTATTGTCACATTGTTTATTTGTGTCTCGAATCGTGCACATGAATGGAAGATGACAATACAATGAGATCGCAGTTTTTCGATCGGAAACATCAGAATAAACGTTCACGAATAGAATTAGTCAAGAGAAAAAAGAAAGAAGAAACACCAGATCTGCGGAATACGGAGTAACTCTGGTGTTTCCGCAAAGGCCACTTGAAGCAATTTCCGTTCGGGCCTCTTGAGCGGTGCGTTACTATTTCGAAGAGGGTAACTTATCTAACTAAAAGAGAGAAAACAAAAAAATATATATATAAAACACAGCTGCCAATCGGCCTTAACTTCTAACTATCTCGAACTTAAAGCTATCGAATCGCGATGATTAAAAGTTACACCTTAAATGA